ACTATATTATATCATGTGAGTGTGGTTTGTCTTTGAGAGAGAAAAAAAATGTGTGTGTGAGAGAGAGAGAGAGAGAGAGAGAGAGAGAGAGAGAGAGAAATTCCGAATAGCTTGAGAACACGGTATAACTGTGAAAGATCCATTTTGTCTATTTTATAAATATTTTCCAGAAATATGAAATGAAAAAATCAGTCTCTATACTCTATCTTTGGTGTTAATAGCTCCTCTCAGAAATTTGGAATTAAAGTTTCATTACAACAAATATTATCACCATATTTTCCATCTCTCATTTAATAGAACATTTTTTCTAGTCATTCAAGTTATCAGTTTAAAATTTTGTGTTATTTATTCCCCAATATCTCCCTCCCAATTCTATCAAAATCATCTCCTTGCTTTAGTGAATATATTAAATAGAGCCTCCTAGTAACTAGAATCTCAAAATAGAGAGTGATATCAGCAGGCTGCAAGGCAATTTTTATACCATAAATTCTTGCCAGACAACACATAAATCTCTCTTTTGAGAGGTTTGGAAATAAGTGATGGTACAATGGTAAAGAAAACCAACAAATATCAATATCCACTATCCTTTATCTTCTTGGCTCTCAAAAAATATTAAAGCCTTTCTGTCCTCATGTTAAAGTTGTAACATGATTTTTCTATTTATTTTTCAATTTTCCAGTGATTAGTATATTTTAAGAATCAAAGGAAGTGTGAAATTCACTATGCTCCAGTAGATTATAATGGAACAAAATAAATTGTATTTGCTGTCGTTTGATGTTATAATCATCTCTTGAAACGTTTTTCCACATTTTCAGTCAGTTACTGTTACATAAAATGCTTTGCTTTCTTGAAAATGAATGAAAGCTTTTAATGTACATTTTCCTGGAAAGTATAAACAAAAATGTTAAATAAGATGTATTTATTTTAAGTTCCAATTTTATTAAGAAGAAAAATACTAATCACAAAAGTCTACTAACTAAACTAACTTGAGGTCAAAATTATGTCCTCCCATGCTGCTGAAACTTGCTTTCTTTTACTTTATTTATATTTTCCCATGCTACGGATAAATGCAAGCAAGAACATTTTCTTGCTCAGTATAACGACGGTTTGAAATAAAAAATGCTCTGTGAGTAATTTTACAGAACACCTGTGAGTCCCAATATTTTAAATATGGGAAGATTTGCGTTTTGCAAGTTTTAAAAACTCCCTTTTGAGATAACTAAGGTAACTGCTTAACTTTTAACGAGAATTTGTAGAAATCTCATAGAAACTATGAACATATAACCAAATGTAAATGGACAGAAAAAAATTAATTGTTTAAACTAATTAGTTTTCTCAAGTATGAAATAACAATTGGAGATAAAACTACAGAAATAACTCATTATAAGTAAGTACCCACTGATATTGCTCTTATTTTTTCTACAGCATAAATCACACATAAATCATACTATGTAAAGTATTTCAGGATCTTCAGGCATTAATAACAGTAACTATATTTGTTAGGGCACAATGAGAGACAAACATCAGTCTGTTTTTTTGTTTAACATTATTTTTAATAGTATGATTTTACACCAGATATTGCAGAATAACCTTAATTAACATGAATATTCAAACACAAATGTTTAATGTTATATTAACATGCCGTTTATTAATTTATGCTTACATATAACATAACTACATCTGTCATTAGCATATATAATAATAAATGGTGAAACACTTGACAACAGTTGAGCGTAAATCGAAGTTTCATTGAATATTTAGAACAAATTTCAAGCCAACAAAATGAATGTCATTCATTTAAATATTTAAAACCCATAATCAGTAATCATACTGGAAATCAAATTAATGAAACACAAAATGAAAACATTGAAGGAAATAGAGGTTCATACCTTGATGGCCTTGTGAGGGTTATATATTAAATACAAAAAGTCTGAATAAAGAACACACACACATACATACATATAGTGTTCTCCATTTCACAGTCATCCAACTATACAGTACAAAGTTATTGGAAAATTGAGTAGGAGGGAATGAGTAAGATCTGGAGAACTTGAACTCACAAAGCTAAAAAACACTACCTGAGTAAAGTATAAACCTGTGATTTTGTATGAATTAAGTTTGTAGAAGATAGAACTTTTAGAACTTTCTGGAAAATCCTGACCATCTTGTCTTTCCATGTTATCTAAAACTAACCATTTCAGATTTGTTTTTACCATTGCTTTCACACGTCTTGACACTGAAGAAAGATTGATCATGTTGCAGTCATATATTCTGTACACAAACTGTATTGTTTTTAATTCTATCTTTGTCGACCTTAGTTATACACAATATTGATGATTCTAAGATTAGAATGCCAGAATTTCTACTGATGTTTTAATAAAAATTAGAGGTTAAGATGTAGTTTATATTAGATTTTTGAAAAGTCTATGAGGACATTACAATGATATACTTAGAATGGGAGAGGGAGAATAAACTGTAATGGAGGTATATTCTAACACATTACATACATGATTGAAATTGTCAAAAATTCTATTAAAATGTTAAAAATTTCCCTCTGATTATTACATGCACTGAAGTTTCAGCAGATGGTTCGATCGAAAATGAATTAATCACAAATGTTCAGATATAAAGATAACAATCATGCACGGATTTATGACAGTTTGGAGAATGGTAATAAAAAATTATCCTTAGAACTGAGGCTTATTTTAGGAATGTTCATTCCAACTGCAAATATTCTACAGATGTTATATAAGAAAACAAGCATTTGTCACACTCAGCATTCATCTTTTCCTTCTATAGTCACATCAGATCACTCTGATTTTGAAGGAAAATTTTCCAGAGGCTGAAATCAATTGGGTTAGGGATTACTCTTGTACAAGTAAACATAGGATCTTCCAAAGTGGTAAATTCATCTGAAAATGCTTTCTATGAGGTTAAACAAATCTAAATCATCTATTTTCATTTCTAAGCTCTTCAGTTATTCTATAAGTTTGAATTCATGGGACTCCTCAGACTGAAACAGTATAATGGATCAAATAATCTTGTGCCTTATCTCCAGGCAGGTCTCTATTTAAGTCATTTTGAGAAGTTTGACAGTTGATGTTTTTAGAAAAACCTTCGGCAAAAGCAATTTCATAACCCTCCCTTGTTCAGCAATCTTCTATTTCACAAAATGTTATTTTATATCAGACAAAAAGCCTCAGGCTAACAGACTTCAGTGGAAATGATGAATTTCTTACTAAGCCAGGTACAATATCGTTGCCTCACACTTAAGACAGCTAGCTTATTGCATTTTTGCTGAGCTTGTCCTAGAATGCACTGCTTCATACCCAAAGTAGACACATCACCACAGCACACCATGGAGAAATCTAACACTTTTGACTATGTAGTTGTGTCTGTTAAATGATTTTACAATTTCTCTTTTGAAAA